ATTCAAAAAGCTAAAAGTGTTTAACTGCCTTTTTCAAGGTGTATGACAATGGAATTTTTCTCAGTTGTTAATAAAATCACTTTTATAACCCTTTTTAATCACTTTTTATTTTAATAAATTTAGAATCACTTTTTATTTTAATAAATTTATAGTGATTACTTAATAATTTATCACTCTTAAAATACAAAGCTATTACAAATATGGCTTCTATTTGTTTACTAATGTGCACTAGAATATCTTTGTTAGTACAGGTCAGTTCAGTGTTTACATTAAATTATTTTTCTCCATCATTCATGAGACTAGATTTACAATAATATAACCCTTTTTTTATAATAATTTAGAATGTACATTATGTAAGCAGTAAACTGCCTCTTGTCACTGACATTTAAGCCAAAGAAGGACGTAAACATTAGAAAAGAGTTAAAAGAATCTGCTAGAAGAAGATATAAAGAAGTATATACTGTAAAAACAAATATGAATTATCATTGCACTTTATAAAGAAAAAAAAACACTAGCATTATTTATAGTTATATATTACCATAGTATCACTTGCATTGAAGAAATTACTGTTTTGTGGCCATGACATTCAAAATCTCGTACCATCTCAATAAAATTTTGATTCTGATTTTTATGGTCATTCCTGGCTAGGGAAAAGACCTTTTTCAATTTCTAACATTGTTGTTTTTGGTGGGTTATTGCCATATTTTAGTATAAATAGAATTCAATCTATCAGTTTCACATGGCACTTAAATATATCACTATCTGCAATAGAATTAAATAGTTTATACTTATGCAGTTTTGGAAGGTGGGAGTATAAGTAATGCCATCTTTGGAAATGGAGCTTGAAACTATTATCTTTCAATATTGCATAAAGTGAATGAAAGAAGAAAAAAGTTTTTATCAAAAATAAACATTCAGAAAGCTATAAAAAATACTTTGACTCATTGTGACATTTAGCTGTAAATTTTCATCAGAGTTTATGGAACACAAAATGAAGCCTTAATTCTTTAATTCTATCACGATTTTAAATTTGGATTTTACTTTATAAAAATAAATTTAATTCCAAATTTTTATTATATAGAATTACAATCACTTTTAATATGATTCCTAAAATCTTTCACACCAACTCTGTTCAGTGGTAGAATTGATACTGATGTTATTATTGTGAGGTTAGCTTGTGATTGTTGCAAGTTACATTAATTTATTGATAAGTTGTACAAATCTAAAGCAAAAGACAAGAATGAAGTGAATGATGTTATCATTTGATGGACAAAATGGTAAAAATAGAAAATGGTCAAGAAAATATTATAGTAGGGAAAAAGGAAGAAATGAAAATACAAAATAAAGGGAAAATGTGAAGATGATGAAAAAAGAAGGAAATGAATGAAGAAATAAATGCACTCAGAAAGAATTTCAAAAGAAAAGGAATTGAAAAAGGAATTGATAGAAAAGGAATTAATAGAAAAAGAATTGATAGAAAAGGAATTAATAGAAAATAAATTGATAGAAAAAGAATTGATAGAAAAGGAATTAATAGAAAAAGAATTGATAGAAAAGGAACTGATAGAAAAGGAATGAATAGAAAAAGAATTGATAGAAAAGGAATTAATAGAAAAGGAATTAATAGAAAAAGAATTGATAGAAAAGGAATTGATAGAAAAAGAATTGATAGAAAATAAATTGATAGAAAAGGAATTAATAGAAAAAGAATTGGTAGAAAATAAATTGATAGAAAAGGAATTAATAGAAAAAGAATTGATAGAAAAGGAATTGATAGAAAAAGAATTGATAGAAAATAAATTGATAGAAAAGGAATTAATAGAAAAAGAATTGGTAGAAAATAAATTGATAGAAAAGGAATTAATAGAAAAAAGAAAAATGATAGAAAAAAAAAAGAATTGATAGAAAATAAATTGATAGAAAAGGAATTAATAGAAAAAGAATTGATAGAAAAGGAATTGATAGAAAAGGAATTAATAGAAAAAGAATTGATAGAAAAGGAATTAATAGAAAAAGAATTGATAGAAAAGCAATTAATAGAAAAAGAATTGATAGAAAAAGAATTGGTAGAAAATAAATTGATAGAAAAAGAATTGATAGAAATGAGAAAACAGTATAAAAGAAAAGAATGAAGAATAAAGGGAGGAAATATTAAGAAAGTGGAAATGATAAAGAAATTATAATGATAAAAATGTAGGTAAGATCAAAGAAATCAGTAGGAGGGGGGGGGAGAAAAAAAATTCAGGGATAGTAACAAAAATGAATGAAAAGAAAGAAAAGCATAGGAAGATGACAATACAAAAGAAGAAATGAAAAATGAACAAAGATTAAAAGAAAGAAAGAATGAGAAAAAGGCAAAACCTAAAAAAAAGAAAGAAAAAAAAAGTTTCCAGAAGGAAAGAAACAAACAAAAGGGAAAAGAGAAAGAAAAGGCAAAGACTAATGAAAGCAAAAGAAACCAGAAAGAAGGAAAGAAACAAATTAATGGAAAAGAGAATGGCTGAATTCAAAATGCATCATCATCATCATCATCATCATCATCATCATCATCATCATCATTCATATTACTTCCTCTTGATTTGGTTTATTTTTTTAGCCTACACATTCATTCTTGTTTCTCTTTTCCTTCTCTAAATTTCTATTTTGCATTGCAAGTCAACAATATCCAAATTTGAAAGGTTAGATCCACTATAAATAAGTACCTCTTCTCTACCAAAAATTCACTTACCCAATAAAATATGCCTTCTCTCTAAACCTGATATACTCTCCCTCTGCCGTTCTTTTATTTGATGGTGCCTGGAGGCAAAAAAAAAAAAATAAACTTCCTGCCCTAGGCACTTTTTCTTGCTCCAGCTCAACTAGAGCCAAAATGAGGGAAAGAAAAATAAAAGATCTAATATGGCATTAGAATTAGTTAATTGCATGTTACTAAGTTTCATCTAAACCAGGCAACTATTTTGTCTTGTACTTGAAAGGATTTTGTGTTCCCAAATATTCCTTTTCAGTGCATCTTCTATTCTAACATTCTGAAATAAGATTGGCATTTTTGTTAGATATATAAAAAAAACATTTATATATAATGACAATGACTTAATAGTCCATGTTCCTTGAAATATCTGAACTAAATTTTGACTGAACTTTGTTTATTCTTTATTCATTAACTATTTTCCCATGATTTTTTAATGTTCCTTGAAATATCTGAACTAAATTTTGACTGAACTTTGTTTATTCTTTATTCATTAACTATTTTCCCATGATTTTTTAATCTTTGAAAAGTTGACAGTTGAGTGGGATGTCATGAAACATGGCATCAGCAAAATTTAAATAATACACTGATGAAAGAAATTTCAGGCATAATCACTGAAATATAAAACCAATCATAAAGAAATATTTAATTCTGCTTTCAATTTAAATTTTCTTTCACAGATTTGGATTTACATTTCACTTAATACCATTTTTAAAAAAGGTAAAAATAAGATAAAACCAAAATTGATTAAACAATAACTTGCTTGAAATCGCTTAAAGCATTACAGAGAGGAATCAACCTTGCTAATCTTCCTTCTGATATATAAGGATTAAAAAAATATTTAATTAATCCTGCCAATGAAGGTGACTCTAATCCCTAAATAAAAATGTGTTTGAATTTCAAAGATGTGTTGTCATATCCTGCTATGGCAACAGAAAACAACTTTGAGTGAAATTAACAATAAAGATACTGCACTTGAGAGGCCTTGAAAAAGAATGCAGTGGAAAGGGAAGTAATAGTAATTATGCAGTGTGCCAAAGGTTAAAGGATTTACGACATGTTTTTTGTGATCTAGACTCATTTATAGATATGGAAACAAGTATATATATATATATATATATATATATATATATATATATATATATATATATATATACCTACCAGTACAAAAGAATTCTCCTATTACCATATTAGTACAAAAAATGCACAACCTTAAAATTTAAAATTCAAACTCAGTGTTGCGACCACACATTCCAAAACAATTAACACATTTCTAAAAGCATTTTTTCAGATTACATCTATATTTTCATTGTCCTGTTATTACCGAGAAGTAAAAAACAAGAACAAATCTATTTCCATACCTGAGGATGTCTGTAGGAACAGAGGAAAACTTGTAAAAACTAAAAAAGACCTTATGCAACTGGAATTTATAAATAGGGATCATATCATTCATATACAGGTTCGGGGTTAGTGTATCTTATTGAAATTGTTTGCGAAGATGTATTCTCGCCATTTAAATCATTAACTTCTATATTTGTTTTTTGTATAAATGATTCATGTAATTATAAACTGAACTGCACCTATAATTGAAATATATATATATATATATATATATATATATATATATATTTGTGTGTGGTGTTACCTTTATAAAAACTTAAAAAGTATAAAATGATTTATCTCTTGTGTTATTTTTTTATGTCACTTAATTATTTTAAAAAATTTTTTTTTTTCACAAAATTTTCCAAACTTAAAATAATTTAAGCACAAACTTCAGATATGCTTAAAAAAGTTTATTCTTTATCTTGACTAACAACATTTAAGGAACTTTCAAATAATAACTTTAGAAGATTTTGCTTTGACACACATACACACACATATTAGGTAATTGAATGACAAAGTGAAAAAAAATTCTATTTAACACATTTCATCATCTAAAAGGACTTCATTGGATTAAATTATTAAATGGAATTATATATGTAGGTAAGGAAAGAGGGAGATATAAAAGTAAATGTCAGTTATAATTATGAACTGAGCGGAAATACTGAAGATATTCTCCCCTACATACAGACACACGTTTGTGTGTGTGTGTGTGTGTGTGTGTGTGTGTGTGCACTGCATAATTAACTTACCCTATAAATAAATATAAAATTATTGTTTACAAAATAATTAAAAAGCAAATTCAAAAGATAGCAGAAAGTCCAAAATAAAATTATAAAGAGACGAAAAAAAAATCTTTCTTTGATATCATTGCTCATGAAAAGTTAAGGAGTTTACACAAAACAGAGTCCATGTCTGCTTAGCATGGGTTATGCGATATTCAATACCACCATTTGTTTTTGCTTTGCTTTTTCAGTTCTAACTCAAAGTGGATGAAAGAAGGAAATGGAAATCAGAAATAAGTTTCTTGGGAGCAGTTCAAAAGCAGCATGCAGAAGGTAAATATTGCTATTGGATAAGGTGGCAGGAGTTTGTAGTTTTATATTATTGGGTCAGGGGAGAAGAAAGACAAAGTTAAGCACAGAGCACTTATTACATTTATTTTACTATGGAGAGGGTAATTTCATGTGACATTATCTTTTTCTAACAACACACCTGGGATGCGGGTTAAATGCCTGGCTATCAAATAGCAGATAGGTGTTGAACAAGGATGAAAAGGAGGAGTAGTATGATAAGACTTACAAACTCATATCTATATACAAGAAATATACACTGAGATTCAAGTAGTTAAGGTATAATTTATAACCCCTGGAAAAAGTGTAGAATGACAAATCTGTGTCAAGAGAATTGAAGCTTAACCAGCACTGAATGAGTTTATTTAATCCCAACAGAAAGAATTCAATGTCTACTTATTCTCATGAATAACAATTGCTTACTTGGAAAATAAAGAGTTAGAATGATGTTAAATTAGGATCCTTTTTTTTAATCCTTTCACTCAAAAGGTGATAAAGCCACTAAAATGCAAGGAATTATTGAGAATTAAAGAAACTGAGGAAATATCAAGGAGAGAGAGAGAGAACATAAAAGTATCAGGATTCAAAGATGATGATTGACACAGCATTTAAATTTTTGAAGGCCATAGTTGACAGAAAAGCAAGAAGTGAGAACAGTTCTCCAAGTGAGAAGTGCAAGAGAAGAAATCATTAGCATATAATTTACACTTACACTTGGCAATTCCAACAGTGAAATGATGAGACCTAGCTGCCAATCTAGTACTGCCCTGAAATTTGTGAAGTTCAGGTACCAAAGAGGAAATTTCATCAAAACAATTACCATGAAAATATTTATAGAAAAGGTACAGGAAAGTTATGTTGGAATGGTGAGAAAATGACTGAAGCTTAGATGCCAGGTCAGTACTAATGACATTGCAGATTCATTTTTGGATTTTATCAAGAATATCTAGATACACAACAGATGCACCAGACCAGATGTGGCAGTAATATTCAATGCATGGATGAATGGTAAGTTTATAGAGCTGCCAGATAGATTCTGGCAAGAAAAATTTTGAACCAAATTTCTTAGCTGCAGACTAAGCAATTGATTCAATATCACTTAATGTCAAAGGAAAATATTACCTCAAGAAAGCACAATGAGTCACCCTCCTGGAGGTTAGCATCAGCCATAATGATGGAAGGCAAAAAGGTTCTCTTTTACAATTAAAAGAGAGCGGTTTCTTTTGAGAGGTGTTCAAATTAAAAACAACTTTATATATGTCTGTTATTTTTGTCAATAAAGCAACAGAATAATAAAAATCTATTCATTTGCCAACAACATTCAGAAATAATGAATTGTCCTGGATAAATAGCCAGATTTTTTAAAATATAAAGTGAAAATTAAATGGTTTTAAAATCAAAGGACAAAGACATTCAGTAATCATCATAAATTAAATCTGAATATTTGATTTACTTTTTGAAACTATATTATCCAGGCAATAATTGTAGTTCAGCCTTATAAATCAGTAAAAAAGAATCCAATAATTCAGATTCTCAGTATCAAGACTTCTTGAAAATAAACTCTTTTAAGTTAAATGAAAGTAATATGCAAGAGTTTTTGAAAGTTTTTGCCTCTCTTTATGATGCAGTGGAAATATATTTTATGCATAAAAAAACATGAAAGCATTTACTATGAAACATTGGCTGCTTATCAACATGCGAACATTCTTTAGAAAATTTTCGACAGATGTGAATTCTAAACTTGTTTCTCTAATTAAATAGTGTAATAATTCTGATGGCACCAAATGTTTCTTAAGCCAAAGCACATTGAAGCTCTCAAAGTTTTGAATTACAAAAGTGATTTTCGTGATGCTGAAAGATTAATTTCACTCATTTGCTGAAGAGTCATTCATGATTCTGGCGCCATCAATCTGAATGGTCTTTACTTGATAGGTTATTTAATTTATTCAATATTATTTATACATGTAACTCATAAGTTTCAGTATTGGTGTGGAATATAAAATTTTGGGAGAACATACATAGATATTCTTTTCTTTTGCTGATTATTTCATATTTCATGCTTGTAAAAAGCAATACATTTACAAACATAAAAAGTTATAGAAGAATAAATCAGTCAGTCAGTTATGTGCCATGCATGATACACGCTTAGGCAATCATGTATCTTTTGAGGCATGACTGATAAGGCAGATTTTTTTTTTCCCATAGTAGGTTGCCATTTCTTTCTATGGTAGACCAGTTGCCATCCAAGGCTATAGAACCCAGTCTGTCCTGCTATTTACCCATAGCTGTGGGGAGAAGAAG